TAGAACATAATGGAATGGCCTCCATCAAGTCCCGATCTGAATCTGATTGAAAATCTACGTTCATTTGTGAAGATGTATTTATATGAAGGTACTAAACATATCTGGGAAACTATGAAAACATTATCGAAAATTGAACCATCTGAAGTAAATTAATTAACAAAATCAATCGACAATTGATTGCTGGTTGTTATTGAGGAGAAGGGTCACTATATTAAAATGTAAATGCTTCAAATACATCGTATATATTTGTTATTTGTCCTATAATAGGCGTTGGCCAATTCTTGATGATTTTATTACCTTGTTTTTGAAGTAAATAAGAATGTTCTACTTTTGCATAATAACTTCAAACTGCAATTTTTATAATGAATCCAATAACTTTAATAAAAAAAAACGTTAAAATTATTTAAACGAATTTACTCAAGCATTGTTCAGAATAAGTGAATTAATGTTATTTCATTAGTTCAATTGTACATCCGGCTTATGGCATAAGAGTTATTCAACTTAGAGGGTTACTAGTTGATTTTGCGGTAATGTGCAATGTACGAGGATATATAAGAAAGATGACGGCTGAACCTAGACCTGAAGAAGTTAAGACGAGAGTGATCTGGGAAGTACCCCCTTGGGAGTCTGTTCCATAAAGTATCGGTTCTTGTCAAGAAGCTGTCCGAATGAATCTTCTTGCTTACTAACGCAATACGTAGGGAATGTGGATGATTCGTATCTGTAGGTGGCATAGCTAGTCTGAGCTGTGAAGATTAGGCCTCGTAGAACTGAAAAATGAATCTCTCCCGAATATTTGCCATGCAAATAGCAATAGTGTAGAGAGATGCTTGTAGCGTTTCATTTAATAGAAACAAAGACACCTTTTTCTGAATCCTCCACACTTGATTCGTATCAATTTTTATGCTATTGTTCATGCCATACAATGCCTAAGAGCCACTCAATATAGAGAATTACCGAATAAGACTGATGTAAGACGTGAAGTGTTGGTTCCGTCAAGCTTAGAATCTTGGAGACGGATGCTTAACGTTTCTTGGAGACAACATCCAACTAAATCACAGTTATGATTATGATTAGCTTCAACATTCATATGTTTGAAATTTTGTGATTAAATACGTTTATCATTTCATAAACTTCTAGTTCTATGTCATGCGTCTTTTCAAGACATGTGCGATCACGACTCTAAGCAATTTCTTGTCTTTTGTAGCTCTCAGCAAAGTTTCTCTTTTTGTAATCGTTACGTCTTTTTGTTATCTTTTACATCTATACATGTTCTACCAATTATTTAAACAAGCTTGTTAGCTAGTTTATACTAAAACGTTAGGTACGGACTTTTAAACTAAAGGGACCTCTCGCTCATCTTACAAAATAACAATGATAATTTTGAGGAAATAATTTCGAATTGTTCAATTCACTCCACGGAACTTTAAAACCTCACTTTAATTCTGATTCGGGCTATGAGTGCAAATCCGGGCAAAAGACTGATTTGAACCGAAACTCTGATATGGGCCGAAATTCCAATTCAGACAAAAAACTGAGTTCTTCAAAACCTCACGTCACGAAACCTTTCACTTTAACTCTGATTCCATGGCATTATCAAGATATAAAACTGATCTCTTCAATTCATAAAGTTTTGGAGATATTATAAACTGAAATTAAACCAAAATTTACTTTAAACTCAATAGAAATTAAACACTCTTAAATTACTAATTTTTTTCAGTTATTTTAAAATTTGAATTTTTAACTGTTCCCTCCACATCCGGACACAAAACCCAATGTTGGATGTTCAAACACCAGATGAAGAGCACGTTAGTATAACATGTATATCTAGAGCAAGTATGGCTGAGCTAGAGGCATCTCAGACAGACAGAATTTACCGTTTATTTATTTAGATATTACACTGAGAGTCGCGAAATGGAGATTGGTATCAAGGAATTTTATCTAAAAAATAATTGGAGAAAAGCAATATTTAAAAAAAATTACGGTTATTAATTACAATTTCCTTAATTTAATTTCTAAATGATCTTTATCATAACTTTCAGATCTTAATTTTGTAATTTTCTTTAGTCATTTCACTTCGAAAAAGGCAATAAAGCCACTAAAATGCAAATGGTTACTGAATATTAGAGAATATGAGAAAAAATCACTATTAAGAAAGAGAACAATAAAAGAACAAGAATTAAGAAGACAGAAGATTATATAGAAAACAACAACAATCTTAAACTGGTATTTCTTCAGGAACCTGATTTTGCCAAGCCAGGTGCTTTGCCGATTACATCACAAAGATTCAAGTAGTGAGATTTAGTGAAGAATCCATATTTCTTAATTCTCCGTGCGAGGCTAGTTTGGCCAACCATTACTACTTAACAGTTAGTTTATCATGAGTGGGTACCACATACAAAATTAATTTTTAAATATTGGTTGATTGTTTGTTTAAAGGTATATTAACTCCTTATGGGTCATTTAATGCCGAAATTTAATTTTCTTGGCAGATTTGAAGTCAGAAAAACATGATCTATGTTATTCTGCTTTTCAGTTGAATACATGGTAGATGACACCCAATTTTTGTGCATATACATGTTTGTGTGGAGATAATTACTAAAAGCAGTGATATGTGTGTATAATGTCGTAGTTTTTTTGAAGGTATATTTTGGAATACAGTCTGATTTCTTACAAAAATCGTAGGATATTATACGGATTAAACAATTTCTTTCATGTTCATTGGTTGGTTAATTTCGTTTAGCGGCATATCAATCTTCAACGCTAAAATCTAAATATTGTGAACACACAGAATGACTTCATATATATATATATATATATATATATATATATATATATATATATATATATATATATATATCGAATGTAATTGTATACAGATAAAATATATTGTTGGTAACTTTACAATAAAATGCATTGCTGCTCCTTTTATTATATTGCTGGTGTTTTTACTCTAAATATGTATTGTTATACGTTCATAATGTTTTGTTTTAATTCGGGGGTTCCCTAATTGCCCATAGCTGGGACCCTAACAAGTGTCAAGTGGGGAGTTAATATTTGCATACGAGACTCAATTCTCGTTCGTGCGAGACTTCCTATTTTATAAGTTCAAACTGGTTTGAATTCTTAGTTTTTTTTCATTGTACATCTGCATGCGAGATAGGAATTTCTGAATAATCCATTTCACTTTTCATGGCGATCGCGATCTTTCAACAAGACCTGGCATGCCAAGCAAATTCACTTTGCGGGAGGCGCGTCTTCTCGTTCCTCACAACATCTTTCGCTCACACATTGCGTATTTGGTGTCGCAATTTCCTTCATCTTTGAGAATACTTCCCAGATATTTACATTTTTGTACTTGCTTGATTTTGATATCTCTAATTTTCATTTGTATGTTGGGCTTCTCTTTTTGCTAACATTCCGTCTTCTTGCAGTTGATGGTTAGGCTTTTTTTTCTTGCTTTCTTTTATTACCTTCTGCAAGTGTTCCTCTAGTTTAACTTCTGTGTCGTGTTCATCTATATATATATATATATATATATATATATATATATATATATATATATATATAAAAAAAAGTTGCAAAGTAAAAAAATAATAATGCTTTTTATGAAAGTATTTATTTATTTATATATATATTTGATATTTCAGATTGGCCTCAATCTTTCTTCAGAAATAACTGTTTGTTTACAAGTAGCGTCCGTCGCGAGATGCGGACGTCACGTGATATGGAATGAATATTCCTAACGTAAATCTAACTGTAATAATATTTTAGATGTTGTTTAGATTAAAACACTTTATATATATATATATATATATATATATATATATATATATATATATATATATATATGAAAGTATACGTTTCTCATTATACTATATATATATATATATATATATATATATATATATATATATATATATATTAATCATTTCAACCCAGTCATGACGGGAATGTCCTTAGTACACTGGGGGGGGGTGTCACGGGAAGTGAAAGTGAAAGAGAAGACTGAGTATAGCGAACAGTAAGGAAATGATAAAATATGAACAGGACTCAAGAAGACAGATGATGGCGATTAAGGTTACATTTAAACTTTTCAAGATTTTAGCTATCAGCTAAGCAAGTATACGGTTGTATTTAGCTATTTCAACAGTAAACACGTGGGACCTAGTTGACAATCTAGTAGCATGCTTAAATTCATGTAGTCGGGGCACCATAGAAAGTCGTAAGAGCAGTTGCCATGAAAATATTTGTAGAAAAGACAGAGGAGAAACCAAGTGAGAAACTGACTGAAATCGAGGTGCCAAGTTAGGATCGATTACATTACAGATCCTACTTTGAAATTTATAAAAAATATCGAGATTTATGACGAGAGTACCAGGCCAGATATGGTAGCAGTATTCAATGCACGGATGCTTATATTGTTAAGATTGTGGCTGCTAATAATAAATCCTGGTAATACTTATAATTATCTCGGAATCGCTTCACCGGATTAAGTCCAGCGAGAAGATATGCCCTTGTCTTACACTCCTATCTATTTTTGTATATTTACTGAATTCATTTTCTGTCTGTATGCAGGCGGTTTGCTGCCAGTATAGTGTCTGGATTAATACGCTTTCCGAAGAATTCCCACGGTTCTTTGTGACCTACTTTGCATAATCTATAAAACATTTGAATACAACTTTTAGCATTTCCATTGTTCTTTCTGATATCTTTCTGAGTATAAATATTGCATTCCTTATTTTTAACGAACCTGCAACTTTCTTGTTTTATTTCCGGTCTGATTTTGTTGCGCATTCTATTTATCAGAAATCGATGGATTAGTTATATTATATGCGTTATTAGGCTGATTATCTGACGGACTTTCCCATTCGTTTGCATCTTGCATCTTAACAGTGCTATCGCAATAGATCTACTAAGATCTTCCCTCATATAACTACTACGGGCATTTCATTTTTTGTCTTTATTTTGTTGGTTCCTGGCCCACAGCCATATCCGATTGTTCCCGTAAGAACACAGAAGTTAAGCAATGTCGAGCCTGGTCAGTACCTAGATAGGTGACCACTTTGGAATACCAGGTGCTGCAAGCTTGGATGTGCGGGTAGTGTAATAGATAATACCTAAGAATTGTTAATCGGTGAACAGAGTTCCAGTCGGGTTCGCAATATTTACATATGCGCAAATACCATTGGGAAAAGTATGAATCTGTAGCGACTGCTTTTCCGCGCCCACATTTTATTCGTCTGCGATTGGCTAATAAATCAATACTGCCTTTCTGTAGGACAATTTAGCCATCGCAGTCGTTGCTTTGAATTTTTCGGTTTTGAACTTGCTTACTTGTTTCGTTAGTACAAATTTAGCGATTGGTCAATTTTTTAACCAATCACATATTTTAGTGCAAAATCAACTTTTCCCGCGGTTTCGCTGGGATCCTATCTGTAGCTTTAAAAGAGGCGACTTTTTCACAAGCCGCCAGTAGAGTCCAGTAAATTTCGCCTGTCAACACAGACCTATGACTTTACTCACAACATTTCAAACGCACACACAGACACAGAATTTTGTAATACATATGTACATATCTTTCTGTGACTCAGCCAAGTTCAATCAACCAGGACTCTGTTGATTTCTCTAACACTTTCTGATCAATTGTATTCTTGTGTTATCTATTCTAACAGCAGACTTGTTCTAACATTGATTCCTGAACATTTCTCTCTCAAGAGAACTTTCTTTCGAACTATTAATCACAAATCAAAAACACAGTTAAAGGGGAGCGACTTCTTTTCCCTTAATCTATACATTGGATATAAATTATTGTATATTTTGTTCTTGTATGTTATTTCAATATATACTTGTTGATTCACATTTGGAATTTTGCTGTTTTCTTGAATCATTAATAATACAAAAAGTATATGCGCTAACGAACACGCATAACTAACCTACCTTTTTCTCTCTAGTTATGGATTAATTATTAAGACTTGTATCACTGAAGTCATAATTACCTCCTCCTCAAAAATAAATTCTTACAATCCGAAAATATTTTCTGACTTTAAATAAACCTGCAAAGGGTTAATAAGCCGTAGAAAATGAATGTTTTAATAAATCAATTGTCAATGCCGAAATTATCTAAGCTGTCAGCATATCTATTACAATTGAATCTGTTCTTGCTACTTTGTTTCTGTTCAATTTGATCAGTTCTGATTTCGCATTTGAATATTTCTAGTTCTTCGATGTTTTCTCTTTCGTAGTGGAAGAGTTCTCCGGTGTATTCGTTCCATCACTAAAGTTTTTGTTCATTCTCTGATATCAGTATCCTTGGCTTTTATGCATCATGTTGATAAGCATGTCATTAGTTCTATATGCCTATCTGATACCCATTCTTTCCCTGGCATACGGATTTAATAAAAAAATAGTTTTATGAATTTCACATGACAGTAACAACAGATAGGTCAATGAATGCCAAATGCTTCTTTATGGAAATGTCAATTTTTACTGTTGTCTGAAGTCTGTCTTACTAAGCAATAAAACATAATTGAAATGGTGCAGGAAATATTCAATCTTTTCAAATCGTGATTCGCGAGAGAGAATAACGCAGCCTGTTCGAAAATGTGACTTTGTACAAGGCTTGGTTCTGTTTTAGTAAATCGAACATGTTGAATTATTTTGTTTTGATAGCGATAATTAAATGCCAATTGTAATTTACATAATTCAAGTAAAAAACTCGTCTTGACATGTCATATCAAAGAAAAGGAAATATTCCGCTTATTAAATTGATTGCGTTAAAGAAATCAGTAAAACCCATAAAGAATTCTCAAGAAACTTTGAAAAAAAACTGAAATCGTGTTGAAAAAGCCTGATTTGATTCATTTTGAATGAATAGGTTTTATCCGATTTCTACGTTCAATAATCATCTCTGATAAACGCTTAAAGATCTTTTGTCGTATAATGCACAACACAAAAATCTTTGACAGCCGGATAATTGAACTATTTATCAAAACTGACAGTAAATAGCATTGTTCAATATGAAAGTTGTGCAAACCGATGGTTTGCTTGTAAAACGTTTCAATAAAGTATTGATGTTCGTTTAATATTATTAATAGTAATTCATTTTCGATTCGCACGAATTTGTTTGACCTCAGATAGTATAAGGTTCTTTTGTTTAAATTTGAAAAGGTTTCTTTATTCGATTTTTATTAGTTATTGATTTTAAAGTCTGCAAAGCACAATATCTATACACATGTGCGCAGCGACAAATACATGGATTTAAACACGCATGCGTGCAAGTTGAACATACACAAAGACAGTGACGTAGGCATTGTTAAGCAGTCATACTAAACGTACGCAAAATTATTTAGAAAAATATTTACAACTACATACACACTGACATGAATTACTTTAGAAGCTCAATTTGTAAGTACACATGCACATAAACAAGAATTAATACACACATACGTGAACAGATATACAGAAATACACATATAAAAAATAATGGCTGGTTACTCTTTTCTGAGGACAAACGTTTGCTGGAGAGGCTAGCTGATCCCTGCTGAAGATGCCTGCTCAGGTCCATTTGGGTTTGTTCAACACCGACAGAGGCCAGCTATAGTTTATATCGATGTTATGCTGAGTGGACCGTGATCAACAGTTTGAACAAGGACACTACGTTCAAACCCTCAGTCACAATGATTGTTAGACAGGTCGAGCTACCGAATATCACTCCCAAGGCTTAGTGAGCCTGTGGAATGGTTTTTAGTCGCTTTCCAACTGAGATAGCCTCCCTCGGACGGTTACACCTAAAAATCAACTCCGTGAAAATTCGTCTATGGTGAAATTAGAACCCGGGGCTGAAAGACACAGACGCATACACTTACACACTTCAGCGCTCGCGTGCGCGCGCACACACGCACGCACACACACACACACACACACACACACACACACACACACACACACACACACATATCTTACTTATTATAAAACGCAGATTGTGTGTGTGTGTGTGTGTGTGTCTGTACGTTTATATATTGGATCGAATTTCAACAAAACTTCACAGGACTACGTAAAATTACCTTGCAGTGGTTCTGACAGTGCCAAAAATTGGAAAAACACAATTGTTTTTGCACGAAATCAATTTGAAAACACGATTAAGAGGCATTAATGAAAGGGGGACAACTCATATCGAGTTATACTTATTAGTATCGAGTTATCGAGTTATACTTATTATAAAACCCAGGTTGGCTGTTTGTGTGTGTGTGCGTGTGTGTGTGCGTGTGTGTGTGTGTGTTCGTTTATATATGGGATCGGATTTCCTACATTTTTCAACCGATTTCAACAAAACTTCACTTTTTTTTGGCAGGTAGTGTCTCTTATTGTCTTGCACACTTTTTTCTTTATTTTTACATTCAGAATGCTTTAAAAATTCCATTTACAAGACAATTGTTTATAATAAAATTCTATTTAATCGGTAGACTCATAACGATTGAAAACAATGTTTTTGTTTGAGTTTGACCAATTCGTAAAAAAAAACTAATTAAGACATGCGCGTCCGTCAACCTGAAACAATAATATTTGTCAATTTTATTTTTCAGTCTTTATGATGGTCGATACTTAGTCTATCTCTTACTGTTACATCCCTGGGCAACGCCGGGCTCTACTGCTAGTATATATATATATATATATATATATATATATATATATATATATATATATATATATATAGTGTAACCCGGATATAAGAGAATTGTCAGGAACGGAGAAGAAGTATCTTATATCCGGGTTTCTCTTATATCCGGGTTTGGTCTATTTTATATACATTAACACAGGCTCTAATTTGGGACCAGAGAAAATCTCTTTATATCCGGGTTGCTCTTATATCCGCGTGTCTTATATCCGGGTTACACTGTGTATATATATATATATATATATATATATATATATATATATATATATATATATATATATATATATATATATATAGTGTAACCCGGATATAAGAGCAACCCGGATACATATATATATAACTGAAAGTCAAAATGGCTACAATTGAAAAAAAGAGGGAAAAAACAAAGCCTTATGGAGTGAGTGTAACGTAAAAAAAACGCCGAAAAAGACAAATAACCATGACATTCTTCACGTAAGCACATACGCGCAGACGGGCGCATGGGCACAAGTTCCCAACACACACACGTACCCACGCAACACACATAGACTACGATAATTAAAAAAAGAAACTTGCACTAATGAAAACACACATACACACACACACACACATATATATATATATATAATAAAAAGGCTTAAACACTAATATTCCATGGTCATAATTTATTCCATTCGAATCGTAAATACGATCAGAGAGAGAGAGAGAGAGAGAGAGAGAGAGAGAGAGAGAGAGAGACTGCCGCAAAAGTAATGGCCTTTTTCCCGAGCTGAGGTGGATAGGACAGGTGGAACAATTAAGTGGTCATTACGATCTCCAGACAAAACACTAATAGATTGTTTCTTGTGAAAAGATCTTTTTCAGAGGTCTAAGGCGAAAAGAATTCCTGTATAAAAACATTCAATTTCTTTAAATGATGTTGATGAAATTTTGTTTTGGGTGTAATTAACATTTAAATTATTTTAGTTGTGGATTAATTTATATATTATTAATAAATTCATTATAGAAAAGGAGGTCATGATTTTTACCATTTTCTTTTCATTTTTTATTTTTTTTACAATTTTTATAGTCATTTATGTTGACTTGGAAAAGAAAAAATATTTCATGAAAGATATTTTATTAAATCCGGGGCGCACTTTTATATTTTTAGTCGATATCTATCTATCTATCTATCTATCTATCTATCTATCACTCTCTTTATATATATATATATATATATATTTAACGTTGTTATTTTATAGATACAAGTATTTAAGCAAATGCTCTGTTTTCTTTGACGAGATAAACAGTATTAAAACCGTCAACGCTTACCGGCCTGAATGTCCGATGACGGTTCCGTATAGAAAATTTTCGTTCTTTGACAAAGAACGAAAATTCCTATGAAACCGTCATATACGCAGGCCGTAAATGTTAATTAATACTGTTCCATAAA